AGGTATTTATTTAGTTTATTATTTTGTTGTATAATTTTGATATAACACAATTATCTATTTTAAAACTTTTTCTCACATTAACGTCAAACAGAACTCTTGATTTTCTACAATCTTTTATTTTATTTGGTTATGGACGCCTCTGGCCTAGTGGTTAAAGCTATGGATTTAAAGATCAATGTCAAGCAGCAATGACATCGGTTTTTACTTGAAAATAAAGATAGCAATATATTTCCAAATAAAATTATAGTAGGGCGGGGCACTAGAAATTATAGTATCCAAATCATAAGAATGACATCACGACACATAACACACGTAACAAACAAACAACTACACAAATGCTAAAACCAATGCGAAATAAATATTCTATGGTCACATCGTTATAAATATTACACCGTATATATTATTGATCTGGTATTTTGTTAGAAATATTTATCAGCATAGTTGAAATAATAGATATCTACTTTTATTTATCTATTGCAAAATTACTTTTTTATAACTTATATTACATTTTTATTCACTATTTTCTTATTATTTTCACTTTTGCCAGTGTAAAGGTTATGTATCAGGTTTTTTCTTCGCCATCCACATGTAACAACGTATACTGAAAATATTTAAGGTTTCTAAAGGTAGGGTGAAAGTAAACTAAACACCAGTGCTCACAACCAAAAATGCTAGCAACTGAAGAAAATTCTTTTGTAATGGAATTTTAAACATTGCCGTTTATCGCCCGATAGCAACGTCGTAAGAATCATTTGATTGCTGATTATACATATTTTTCCCTCTACTTTCAAATATTGTTATTAAAAAATTCCTAACTTTACTTGTTTGTGAGATATCGTTGGTGGACTTTTTTACCCGTGGACCTTCAAGCCCTATAATATATTCTAATATCGAATTTTTCTTTGTAAACTATAAAATAGTAGTTTGCAAGTTTTCTATTATATTAGTGAATAATTGAATTTAAAATTTAGGTTGATGAAACAAAACACGTATTAATCAAGGCAAATTACAGATTTACCTTATATTATTTGTGGTAAATTTAAATGAATTTACATTTAAACATATATTATATGATGTATTACATATTTATTTATAACACTCTTTGTTAATAATATGTCGTCATTCCTAAAGAGAATTTTCATTCTTTCAAATTTCTATCTTGACAAATTTACGAATAAAATAATTTAAATAATATTTCATATATGACATTGAAAAAGCGATTACATAATTTAATTTGATAATACTTTTTTTTTTATTTCATCAAAATATTTTTTATTTTATCAGAAGCATTTTAAAAAAAATCTTGCTGCAAATATTTATTAAAAATAAAAAATCTATTTTTCTATTTCTATTAAATTATCAAAGTTTCTTTCATAGTAGATGCATGATCAGATAAAAACGGCTTAAAACAACTTCTACTAAATTATAAGAGATATAATTTATATTTTACTTCTTCGGTGTAAATTTTAATTGTTTATGTTATTGTAGTTCAAATAACTAATTATTTTATGATATAAACTAGTTTATAAAAATTAGAGCCAAGAAAATCTGCTATTAAAATATCATTAATATATGAAAATAATTATATTAAACAAATAGAATAGTAATAAACTTCAAGTATTACTATGTTTCATCGCATTGTTTTTAATAGTAACTGCTTATTTATTCAAGAGACTTCTCTCTGTTTGAATAATTTGAACGTTACCACACTGTAATGAAGTTTGAACTCAATAATAACTTTTTTATTTCGAATAGAATTGCAGTACCACAGATAAGAATTAAACTTTTTTATATTTAAAGTTGTTATCTAATTCTGCTTTTTAATTGTTGAAGCAATGCGCGCCGAATTTAAATAGCCGAATTACTCATGGTAAATGAATCGATGGTGCATTATAATTATTCCATCTAAAGTTTGTGCGATTCGAGAAATATTATGCATGAAAATAATTACTCGAATTTTACGTCAGTCGGATAACAAAGTTATATAAAAGATGATTTAAATAAAGTAATCAAACTGTAATTGAATTTTTAAACCAAACAAGATGGTAATAGAATGTTGTGTCATCAACGCCCAAATAAATTTGATTATTATCGAAATACATTCAAATTATATTGGCGTCATCAATTTATATTTATAGAAAAGGTTTTTTTTGGAAACTTAACTTAATTTATAAACATTTAATTAGCAAAAGGTATTTTATCAAACATTGGTAACATATAATAAAAACAATTAAAGTTAGGAATAAGTAAAGTAAAGTAATGTAAAGTTTTTAACAGCAATATTTGAAAGTAGAAGAAAAAAGATCTTTAGTCAGCAATGAGCTACCGCCTCAAATCAAGCTATATCGCCAACAAGAAGCTAATGTTTATTAACAATGAAGGTAAATCTATAACAAATATATTTTCTTTCGTTGTTAGTTTTTTGGTTGTGAGCGTTGTTGTTTAGTTTACGAGACCTCAATATAATTTTAAACTTACATGTGGATGAGGTAAATAGGACCAACTGAATTTTTATTCTGTCAAAGGTGTGCGCACATTAAATAATAGTAAATAAAGAAAAGTTGAATTTAAAAACACAAGTTCACAAGAGATAAATCAATTTAATAGTCATTTTAACTCTGCTGATGAATATTCTGACGTAATACCTGATCTAATTTATAAGCAGTGTTATTTTTGTAAAAACAATTGTCTATAAAATTCATATTTTGTATTGGTTACATTATGTAGCTATTATTTCGTACAATCCTTTAAAATTAAAAGCAAGATATTGGAAATATTTATCCGCCTAAGGGGAAAAAAGGACAGTTGTCAAATTTTAGAAAAATAGTAAAAAGCATATTTCTATAATTAGGAAATAAATGTGAATGTTACTGAACCTAGTTCGATAGGTGTTTATTTGAAATATTGGTATGTAGTTTATTTGATTTAGACAGTATAATTACTGAAAGTTAAATTGTGCTTATTTGTACGCTGCCCTACCCTATTTCTTAAAAGTTAATTCGTTTTAATGCATTTTGCTAGTAATTACTAAATAAGAAAATATTGATTTGAAAAACAAATTGATAAACTACATAAACTAATCAGATGCTAAAACAAAAAAGCTTTTACTCAGTGAACTAATGAACTATAAACGTTTTTTGCAAGGAATATTTAATTTAGATAATATTTGAATTGAATAAAGAGCATTGAAATTTATTATTAGCATCTATATAAAATTAAACGATTGTTTGAATTGTTATGCACATAATTCTATGAAATTGTTAAATAAATTTATTACCAATTTTTTCGCTACGCAAAGTATATTCCAATATTTGTAAATATTGTGGTATTTTTTCCAAATTTATTTTTAATGATCAAACTTAGTTCACTTGCATAGTTAGACCATAAATCATAAATCAGAAAATAGTTAACTAAAAATTGGTAATTATTTAGACCAGTATTTAGCAAGCATCTTGAAAAATAACTAATCTTTCCCTAATTGATACAAAGTTAGATGTAATTATACAAAGTATTAATTATCAAACTAATCTTCATTTTATTTCTAAAACAATATCAGCATCTTCTTGGTGCAAACAATGTCTAAACTCAAATGAACCCATATTCAAGTGGAATAATTCCACTTTCTGATTTCAAATGAAACTAATGATACTATTTGGTAGCATCCATCAATTTCGTTCAGTGGAAAATGTCGCTCACTTGTAATGAACGATGTTGTTGTTACTTTGATTTAATGACTTTTAAAGGCGGCATATGTCACCTCGTCAAGGGAGATCGTATCAATCACCATATCACCATATCGGATGCTCAAATCAGCGACACTCTGGTGCTCTCGTGTTGAAGTGACCTTTGGGGAGACAACGGACGTGCTCTGACCTTAAGTGCCTACGGTCATCGCCGGCAATTTCTCCATGCATAGAGTCATTGTTTATAAGCCTATATAATATTCTGATCATGTACGATAAGACACCTTAATGATTTTACCAAATGTTTTAGCTTATGGAAACATAACATACCTAAGGCATGTGTGAGACATGTCATGGAATGTGTAATGTTCATATAACTTTTTTTAGTGATCAAGTTCTACCATAAATTAAATTTCAAGAAACATTTGGTTTCATTGCTGATACAGAAAAGTCGAATAAAAATTTCAGATAATGCAGAGCCTACCGGCTAGCACATATTAGTTTGATCCCAACTTCGGCCAAGCTCGATATCGAGCAGTCATGACACTTAAATATCAAGTCAAAATTGCCTTCTGTGGTCATTGCTACATCACATACAAATCAATGCTATAAAATAAATATATTTAATATATACGTATGTATAACAGGTTTTCCATGGTGTGATAAAGGGTATTCCATCTGTAATAATGGGTGTTCCATTGTGTAATAGTTAAGTCAACGGACTCGCGTGGACGAGGTTGTGAGTTCGAATCCCGCTCTAGACAACTTGACATCGTGCAGTAGCGATGTCTATTTTCACTTGAAGATATAGATCAAAAATATGTTATGGCAATTGGAAATCTCTCACACTATTCTTCCCTGAATCGAGTTGAACTTCAACTCATCTCACGGACCTGCCCCAGTACTACCATCTTAAAATAGTAATATGAAAGAAGATATGTTAACCACTGTGTTGCCTTCTCGAACAAAATCAAACATTAGAAATTAAGGTTGGCAAACACATCTCAAAAAATACGTAGTTGTGATCGCGGTTAGTCAGGTCATGCTAGATGATTTACTCAGGCTTCCAAGCCCAAATAATCTTATAAGAGGAATATAATTGATTGTTTTATGTACAAAAACTAAAATGCGCCCTATATTATTTCAAGAGTAAATCTATTAACAAATACCGACTTTTGTTAATGAAGTTAATTCGATTGTTCTAAACTTAATTCTCTTTTTAATTAAAAAATAACTATACTTCATTTGGTTCTTCGTAAACCTAACGACAAGACATTGTTTTCATCTTATAACTTTTCGGAATAACTCTTGACTTACTTCAGCTGCTGCTACTAAATTCGTCTTGTGCATGTTATTAACAATATTTCAATTTTATTAACCATATTTCAATTTTAATTTGAGATGTTTTTCATATCACTGCACCCTTATTTCTAGCATATGCAAAAAATGGGGATGATCATGACGTACACTGCAAATAGTCATTAGTTCCATTCGATGACCTTCACGGTGCATATGTAACGATAAGATATCAACGTTCCATTCTGTAGAGGGCGTACCAGTATAATATGATGAATATTATTTTAGGGGACAGGGGACAGTTTTTGTACATTTCAACACTGCATAATTTTATTTTATGACAGAGCTTTTGAAAGTCAACGATAACTCACAAAGCGCTGCCTATAATTCCAAACTTTGATGAACTTTTAAAATATATTTACTTATCGTAGGCTCATAACATATTAGGATGTTTGTTAAGACCATGAACTTTATCATCATTGAAATTTTCATAAAAAAAAACAAATTATTACAAGGAACGGCCGATTCTTTCACAAACACTAATCAGCATAATTACTAAATAATATTTTTCTGCTATATTTGCTTATTATATGATTCCAAAAGGTTCAGAATTATTTGAAACATCGAAAAGTCATAAAGTTAGCAAGTAGATTCTGAAAAGAAAATATAAAATTTTCCTTTGATTAGTTATTAATATTGCTGTAATACAGATAATTAAGAAGATCAGTACTAAACCAATAATCATAATTTTATTTAGACTTTTCTCAATGACTAACGGTAAGTCTTGATTACCAATACTTTGAGATGCTTTATTAAATTAATCATAAATCTCTTGCAGTTTGAATTTGAAAATGAATTATTTAAATTGTTTAATTGCATTTGATATTTGAAATTTATTTAATTCAAAATTAATTATCTTAGTGCATATTAGGTAAATATTTTATATTACTTTGCATATCGAAATTAATTTCAAGTATATTTTGGTATATAATTTTTATTGCCAATATCTAGTTAGTTTTTCTTAAATATTATCAATGATTTAGCGATAAATGAAACTATTACAATGTCGATAATCCCCGATCATGGTACAAGTTTCATGTTATTATGGTTATTTAAATCTCCCCTAGCAGAACTAGATTCTATATGAAGGGGACTGCTTTCGGTTTTTTATATAGAGAATGCTTTGCAAATTGATAGTGATTTGATTGTGGGGATAGTCTTTTTATTGACGATCTGGTATTCTTCAGAGGTGGTTACGATGTCTGCAATTTAGGATTATTTTTTACGTGCCAATACTTTTCTAATTTGGCAATCAAAATTGATAAATATTTATAAAAGTTTTTCATAAGATTTAAATTTATTTTAGTTTGACTATAAATATATAAGTAATCAAAAAATAAATAAGATTTTAGCAATAGGCGGGGCGGGGCAAAAAAGTCCAATTTGACTTTTAGTAATAAAATACATAACACGTATCAAACAACTATTGAACTACGATCAGTAAAATTCCCAGTTAATTCCTAATATACTTTTTTACTATTATTCTAAAATTTATGTTCTCTCCCTTTCGGCGGGACAACAAGGCGAAATACATATTTTATATGCAATTTTTTTTACAAAGATTGCACTGTATATAATCTTGATTTGGTATTTTGTCAGAAATATTTTTTTTTTTTATAGTTTACGAATTTGCTAGGGCAAAGGTTAAGTTGATCCTGTTTACCCCAACCAAATGTAAGCTTTTATAAATCCGATTCGCTAATTTTATGTTTTCTCGACATTTCAAGCCATTCTGAATCGTATGAGACCAAATTTGGAAAAAATATGTGTGTGTGAACAGATTTTTTGCCGTAAATCGACGTTTTCTCGAAAACGTCTGGACCGATTACAAAAATTTAAAAGCTATTCGCTGTATCTCGATGAGGGCAATTGTTTGTCAGTTTTGTGCGACGATCGGCCGATCCGTTTCTTTGTAATTTGAAAAAAAAGCGTAAAACTTTTTATCTATATTCAAACTCATACTACCGAATCAATTTTCAAAAATCAAAAACTGTTCGAAAAATATTAATTGAGAATGATACTGATTAGTTTTAGGTGAAAATCTACCGAGCCGTTTTCTTGTCATTAACTGTTGAAAAAAAAATTAAGCCGATTTTTATGGAACTTTTTTTGGCGATATATATCATGGTCTTATAGAACTTACTGAAATATTACGGCCTTACGACAAGTAGTTTAATTTTAAAAATTTATCGAAGTTTGAGAAAATGAGTAGTTTTTTTGCCGTTTGTTAATATCAAAATTAGACGATTTACTTGATATAACGATAGAGTACTTGAATCTAATGAACATACTAAAGCAATAAAGTCCTATGCAAACTGGTTCAATTATAAAAATGGTTGATTTGTGAAAATTTGCTCTTTGAAAATACTCCGAGTTAACGTTTTCGATTGTTTTCAATTATGTGTAATAAATCCACTCGGAATATTTTTAATCACTTATAGATTAATTTATTGATTAATTATTTTATTGATTAAGTCGATTATTTACAGTTATCATGTAACTTGCCTCAAGGCAAAATACCAATACCAACTAGTTTGTTTTTGTTTACAGTAGTAGAAATGATTCATATTTGATTAAATATATTCATATATGATATTCCAACTTTACTTATTGTCAGAATTTCTTATATATCACAATATCTAAACGACTAATGGGCATTCTTATGATAGAAACAATTCTATTAATAAAATAATGAAAAAAATAGGCTCGATTGGGCCCAGCGGTGGCGATAACTAGTCCCGGGCTCGCTGGTTCGATTCCAGCTACAGCCAAGTCCGACATAAGGCTACTTTTTTTTTTTTTTTGTAATAGTTTTATTTAGCAATCAGAAAAATTACATTTTTCTATAAGCTAAATTGCAAATTATGTGAATGTTAAAATAAGATAGGATCCACTGATCTATCTTACATTATGTTACTTAATATATTTATATATATAACTAATGATTGTACTTAAATACTATGTAGAGGCCACTTTCTCTTCAATCTTGGGTTTTGTTGAGGGCGCAGTAAATCCTTTATCGATTCATTTGGGTGCATCTCCAATCTGTTACGGTATTTAGATGATAGTTCTTTAAATGTTTCGTGCACAGTCAGCATTTTTAGGTCGCCATAGACAGTTTTGTTAGTGACATACCAGGGTGAGTTGAGGATGGCTCTTAAGATTTTAGTTTGTGTTCTCTGCATAATTTCCAGATTAGATTTGGAGGCGCATCCCCATAGCTCTAGACCATAGGTCCATATTGGCTTAATGATAGCCTTGTATAGCAGTAGTTTATTTTCGACGGATAGTTTGGACTGTCTGCTAAGTAACCAATTCATCTCCTTCATTTTTAGTAGAATTTGTTCCTTTTTCTTTTTTATATGTTCTTTCCACGTGAGTCTTGTATCTAGATGGAGTCCCAGGTATTTTACTACTTGTACTTGTGGGATCATGATGTTGTTTAAGTATACAGGAGGACAAGTTTTTTGACACAACGTGAATGTTATGTGCGCAGATTTTGATTCGTTAATCCGTATGTGCCATTTATTTAGCCATTTCTCTAATATGCAGATATAATTTTGAGTCAGTTGAGATGCTAATAGAGGATTTTGATTTCTGAATAAGATAGCAGTGTCGTCTGCAAATGTAGCTATAATAGAGTTAGGAGGTATTGGTATATCTAATGTAAATAATACATATAATAATGGTCCCAGGATGCTGCCCTGCGGGACTCCTGACCCTATTTTACAGAAATCTGACAGTTCAGCGTTCACTCTAATCTGGAAAGATCTGTTTTCTAAATATGATTTTAATAACTTGAAGTATTTAACTGGAAAGTGTTTTTTAATTTTATATAACAGCCCAGGATGCCAGACCTTATCAAAGGCCTGACGAACGTCCAAGAAAATGCCACTGCAATATTCCTTTTGTTCAAATGTATTTTTAATATTTTCAACAATCCTATGGATTTGTTGAGTCGTTGAATGCTTATGCCTGAACCCGAACTGATGTGACGGCATCCAGATGTCTGTCGGTAAATCATGATTAATTTTTTTATATATTATTTTTTCCAGTATTTTGGAAATTATAGGAAGCAAACTGATAGGTCTGTATGACGAAACATCCGTTGGATTTTTACCTGGTTTGAGTATCATTATAATTTGTGCCCTCTTAAAGTGGTTTGGCCAGTAACCAATACTGAGTATAGCGTTGAATATATATGTAATTGCAATAATTGTTTTCCTTGGAATTTCTTTAATGACTTTACCACTTATTAAATCATAGCCCGGAGACTTTTTTGCTTTTAGATTATTTATTTCATAGCTGACTTCCTTTGGTTTAACAGGGGTTATAGCTTCCACCATTTCTATTGATTTATGTAGTTCTTCTGCTATTTCAGTATCCGTAGAATTGTCAAAAGGCTGAAATACTGAAGTTAAATGTTTGGCAAAAAGCAGTGCCTTTTCGAGATCACTTCTTGCCCAAGGTTCATTTATATCTTCTCTAACTGGTGGTGCTGGAATTTTTGGTTTTTTATTATTCCGAATTGGCTGCCAGATAGTATTGTCCGTTCTAGACAGGCTTAAAATATATTGTTCAAAATTTTCGGAAGTGACTAGTTTTAATTTTGCTTTGAGCAATCGGCATAATTTATTAAATTGAGTTTTGTCTTCTGGCCTGTGATAACGTTGCCATTTTGCTCTTGCCCTCCTTTTCTCCTGTATTAGATTTTTTATTTCCAGCGGGATATCTTGTACTTCACGAAAATGTAATACTGGAGTTGCTTGTACCACTGACTCCTGAATGTTAAAAATTAAGTCGTTTATTGAATTATCGATATCTTCTTCATTTTTCAATCGCATTTTAAGATTTGTTCGTTCATTTAGTGTGTTGCGAAATTTTTTCCAATTTGTGAATTTATTATAAAGTATTCTGTTGTTTTTTATAGGAATTGGTGCAACTCCTATTGTTAAAATGATTGGAGAATGGTCGGATGATAAATCAAAAGATGG